TAAAACCCTTTTTTATACAACTCTTATATTATGTTCAATGTTTATTTCAGGCACCGCAACTTCGTTCATGTATCATCCACTACTGAAACTTTAGCTTAATTTCGCAGGAGAAAATAGCATTAAAATTACTTTAAAAAGTTAATTTCTTTATTTCGAACACTAATACTCTTATCAAATAATTTTTTAGTCATTTGGTGGAAGAGAGTTGTATTATCAGTAAGAAGATCTTGACCAATGAGAATATCGAACGGAATCTGTAAGAATAATTATAATACAAAGCGTGTTATCTAAAAAAAACCTCAAATTATTATAACCAAGAGCCAAATAGACGAAAACTAAGATTCAAATGCATAGAAATAAAATTTCCTTAATAATTTCTGATTATTAAATTGTAATTACGTCTTGTTTATGGATATGTTAAAAGTGAATTTTGCAGCCAAATCTTCGTAAGAAATTAAAAACTAAATAGCCATCATGTTTAAAATTTACTTTTGCTAAACGATGTGTATATTTAACCATAAGCACTACTTTGCTATATAAATAATTTTGTGTCGCTCAAGTGTATCAATATCATTTTCCAAAATCTGCATCTCATTTTCAAGTCTTTCTTTCTTATGCTTCTTAGGAACTGTGTCAATCATAACAGAAAGTAGTTGAAATTGATGATATAATTCTTGCCAGCGTAGCTTAAGACCAGTCAGTAGCTCCTGTGAAATTATAATAAATAAAAGTTACCTTTTTATCTGCTTCGTTGAGTTGTTGCATCATATTATTTGCTTTCATAAATTCAATACATTCCTCATATTCTAGCCTAGCATTTTTAATGTCCTCCTGTCGTTTAGCAAGATATTCCGGTATTTTTCCGAAATTCTAAAATTTTATTGGGAATTTGAATTAGCAGAACCTTTTGCTTAACATAAACACATTCCAAACCAGAGGATTCAAGTAAAAATTTATCTCCCTTTCTAGAATCCACCATAATTTTTGGTGGACGTTTGGGAA